ATTTGAAAGAGGTTACTTCATTCACTTATCTAGGGAGCATTGTCTCAACTACAGGAGGAACGGACGAGGATGTCAAATCGAGAATCGGGAAGGCGAGAAACACATTCATCAGCCTGAAACCAATCTGGAAATCTTCGTCACTCAGCATCAACAATAAAATTCGGATTTTCAATGCAAACATCAAGTCAGTCAGTTCTTCTATACGGATCAGAAACTTGGCGGGTCACAAAGAATATTTCCAACAGCCTGTTGCAGACCTTTATCAACAACTGTCTTCGCTCTATACTACTGAAGATCAGATGGCCGGAAAGAACAAGAATCAACAAGAAACTATGGGAACAAACAAAACAAGAACCAATCGCTCAACAAATATGCAGGAGAAAGTGGAGGTGGATTGGACACTCGCTGAGGAGGCCGTTGGGTGACATCGCACGTCAGGCCATCGCTCGAGTGGAACCCGAAAGGGAAGCGGCAAGTGGGACGTCCAATGGTGACATGGAGGAGATCGTGTGAAGAGGAGTTGAAACAATATGGAATAACATGGATGCAGGTGAAAAGCACAGCAGAAGACAGAAGCAAGTGGAGACGTGCAGTTGAAGCCCTATGTTCCACTAGGAACCCAAGGGAACAATAATAATAATATTGATATAACATTGGTTAATAAACACATATACATAACTCTGTGTGGTGTTGTGATACAGACAATGTGTTCCGACGGAATATTATTATTCTCACATATTCCCACAGTTCAATACTGCATTAGCAACACAATACTATATATGTTTGAACATTCTGCTTCATGTCGTTTAATGTACACCAAAATCACACACTCAGTGAATGGTTAAAGAATATAAACTGTATTGATATAAATAGGTGTTTGATTACTTGAAAATATATCTTGGCTTCCATGCCTTGCCTTCTGCTGTACTAGAACGTTACCACTGTAATTACTTATTGTCCATGGTATTTTTATTTACCTTTATTTCTTAAGAAAACACAACTTCTGTGTCGTCTGAAATCAGTGTCAAACTTGATGCAGGACACTTCTGACTTTCATGCTTTGAATGCGAATTTTATTCGGCTTTTTTATGAGACTGGCGTCAATACAGTTGCATCCTTCATTTATTTGTATCTTACTACATCTCTAGCATATAGATAGATAGTCTTGAGTTTACTTTGATTCTCTCCTTGTTATAGACTGTAATACAACCAGTCAAAATAATGTCAGATAAAAACTTCATGCAATTCTTCCCATTAATAAACTTGAACAAAGCAAGAACAACAATTGTACCAGGATAATATGAGCTCATCTTCTGGCAGATATTTTTATGGGTAGTCTGGAACAAGCAAGGCTGAAATCCGCAATCAGTCAGACCAACTTCTATACCAGGTATGTCGACGACACTTTCGTTATTTGTAATTCTTTTGATGATGCATCTCTAGTACTAAAAGTCTTGAACAGTGCCCATCCTAATATTAAGTTTACAATGGAGCATGAAAAAGAGGAGAAGTTCCATTTTCTTGACCTGGGTATCCAACGAGATATAGACGGCAAAATCATAAGATATATACACAGAAAAGAGACCTGGAGAGCGGTTTATCTTAACTTCAAAAGTTTCTGCCCTATAAGTTACAAAAAAGGATTGGTGAGAACATTATTTGATCGTGTAAACAAGCTGTGTTCAGAAGAAAAGATTGAGGAAGAGCTATCCATTGTGTAAAAATGCCGACGCGACAACGGTTACCAACAAAAGTTCATTGACAAGTATGGGAGACGTCATGTTGAAAAAGTGAAAAGTAGCACAGTAGAGAAAAAGCCTATCTTTCTGCAGCTTGCATTCAAAGGTGATGATACTGCCAGTAGAATAAGATGCAGACTGAACGCTGCCCTGAAAAAAACATATCCAGCCGCCAAGCTTGAATGTGTTTATCAAACAACTAGTTGTTTGTGACAATCAAAAGTGGACAAATACCCACCTCATGTTACCTCCAACTGTGTCTACCTATTTACATGTACGTGCCAAAGCACATACAGAGAGAAGGGTTATTGTCCGCATTTCTGAACACATAGCAAAGAACCTGAGACTGAAAGGTCTACAAGTATTAAACAGTGCAATTGTGCGTCATCTATTAGACACTAGTCATAATGTAGACAACTTGAAGTCATTCAAAATAATCAACAAGCAAAAGAAACCTAGCTTGCTACGCTTTACTGAAGCAATTGCTATCAGACGACTTAAACCAAATCTATGTACGCAGAAAGAGACAGTGGTGAATCTTGCACTGCCCTGGTGACAACAAAATATGAGTCACCTTTTTCTTGTTTAAAAAACTCTACTCACCCTTTCTTGTTCTTTTCTCTTCCTTTTTTTTTCTATTGGCTATTATATAAAGCATTTTCTTTAGTTACGTTATCTACCTTTTTGTTATGCTATGTCTAGCTAAACCTTGTTTCTATACACACATATATATATGCAACTCTGTTTTTGTTTCCAAACCTAATTATTCTATAAATATTTATAAACTGTCAAATATTGATCACAGTTCATTTGAATTATTCTATAAATAGTCAGTGTTTGTAACTCTTAATTAGTTAAATCATTCCGGACTAATGCTACTTTTACTTCCTACCAATTACTCCTTGTGATCGTGGGAAAGTGTGTTCAAATCTTTAATGTAATGTAATTCATATGTTTTTATCGTTCAGGTTGTAACCAGTTGAGAAGAATCCTCGAAATAATAAAAGATGAGCTCATATTATCCTGGTACAATTGTTGTTCTTGCTTTGTTCAAGTTTATGAATGTCAGATAGTTTTGCTTCTTTGATGTTGCGTTCTCTCAGCCGGATGATTCCATTGCAGACGCTTCATTGTCCTGGAATGTATTGATAGTAAACGTGATTGCTTATTCCGGGGAATTTTCTTACGATTTTATTCATGTGTTGATATCGATCGTCTCATTGATCCAGTATCCAACTTTCCGGCAGGGATGCTTATTCCTTATTGATCGATAAACTATATCTGTATCAAGATATCTATTAATTGCAAATGGGTTTGAATAGTATTCAGCTGAGAGAAGGCGAAAACACAAAAACTGTCCTACGATCTTATATATAAGCAACAACCGCGTTTTCCTACAAAACAGGAATTCCAAAAACACCTAGTGTCACACCTGCAAAAGATATACCAGATGTGGAGCCGACTTCAATGACGTGAAGCATGCACGCAACTGTAGTAGACTAGACGGTAATCTAGTCTAGACTACAATCTACCTTGCAGTATTAACTACACTCTCCCTATCCTCCCAAATTATGAAGAATATCCGTTTACTAAGAGGTCTTGACATAGTAGTGGGGGTGAAAACATCCTTGCTCAGTTACGTACTGTGAAAAAACACTACTTCACTTCACAATAAAAACAATAGCACCTCCCCCTTACACACAGGAAGGGTTCCTAGTCGAGAAATCAGGTGACCTCTCTACACACATTGTCAATGAAAATCATATCATAACTAACTAAAATTCACTTAATGAAAAGTACCCAGCGGCACCTTCTCCAAAGAGGTACTATGGTAATGTTGGGCAGTAATGACGAGAATGGCAGAGGAAATATATCGCACTTATCAAGGCACTCTATACGAACTCATGTAACCAGCCAGGTAAGAGCCTACGGAGAGTTGTGATGGTCACAACCAGTGGTGTCCGTCAGGGATGTCCATTGTCCCTATTTGTTTAATATCATTAAAGATGTACTAATGGAATTAACCCTAACTGACTTCAGCGACTCAAAGATTAACTTGATACTAGGAAATAACCTCATTGACTTGGAATATGCAGATGATATACTTCTTCTAGGTGAAGACCTTGGAGAGCAGCAATCTTCGAATGTTTGGCATGCGATTCCCTCTCTCGTCGAATGTAAGATGATGCTACAGGATTGGACTGGACTACATTGACTCCTAGCTTAAAGATAGGTAAGGGTGAAGTGGTAGAGCGTGTTGACCACCACTACACTTATTTGGAAAGTTGCATCAAGTACTAAGTAAGCAGGGAAAATCAATCGATGAGGTTGCGAATTCATTTCCATTGAGATGGTTAGGACGCATGTGTTACGCATACCTAGCCTAGTCATCGCGTTCCTCGATGGGAAATGATGGATTAGGTTGGAAAAGAGCTAGTGTTAGTGGTGGTCAAGCCAAAATAAGGCCTCATCACTCAGTGAAATCATTAACAATTAGTTTAGGCCCCCTAAGGAGGTGTGTAGACTTCCTAACTGGTGGTGGTCTTCGGGATGGTAAGAACCAATGGAAGCTGAAGATAACCCGTGATGTGGCTGAAAATCGTTGTCAATGGCTGTTGCATTCAATCTTTGTTGTGATTTGTCATACATAGTAAGACTCTACTCTTCTTTTACCCTCACTCACACTTCTGTTTATTATCTCGCTTAACTATCTTCTCTTGCTTTGTGTGCTACATGGACCCGCGCGCACATCAGTGCAAAGTCGTTCTACTATCAAACTAGTCAATCAATTAATCACATTCTTGAATTACATCACACATCACCTTTGACGTTACACCACTTATTCATCAAAGAACTATATGACTAGATGAACAATATTATTAGTAGAAAAAAAAGAGAAAAGAATTGACAGAAGAAAATATTAAATGTTCATTAAATATATTAAGAAAAGTAGAAAAAAAGAGCTTGAGGAGACGGAGGAAATTATTGTAAGTATACACAATCACAGATTTTAAAGGAAGAAGACAAATGTACACAAAGAAAGAATAAAAGAAATAAAATATTCAAAGAAATAAGATAGAAAGTTTTATGGATAGTAGGGAGAATAGGTTGAGGAGAGAGAAAGAGAGAGAGAGAGAGGGGAAGTAAGAAAAGGTGAATATTTACATGAGCTGCCCATTCACACATAAAAAATGGGGTCAGGAAGATGAACAAGAAGTGTGTTGGTAAAAAAAATCAAGCAAAAAGAAATTCAGTCCTAGATTATTCCCAATCTTCATTGTCTTCTAATCCATCATAACTGGTTATCAATCTTCGTTTACGTGTACTACGCCGTAGAGTGTTATTGGACACATCCTCTAACGGTGATGTATACGATACTGCTGACTCTGTAGGACGACATACAACACCAACACGAGGAGGGCGTCCACGTTTAGCATAACGTCGTGTTGATGAATGAAGTTGATTTCTACAAGGCAGTGTATTGCTTGATGAGCATGATGGTGTTTTCAGTCTTTGTTGGTGAGATCTTACTGTGCGTTTACGTTTATCATGTGAACAATCTGATCTGTCATCGTATTCATCAGATAAAGATAGTGAGAATTCTTGTGATGAATCACGTGGTGGAGGTTTCACAATACGACCACTGGAAGTTCGTATAGTGCCTGACTGTGTCGTCAATGAAGACGAGGCGATACCTTTATGAAAATAAATTGAAAAATATCAAAGTCATCTACATTTATATATATATATATATATATATATGCTAATTGATAAGAAGGGGCTAAAATTAAAATCAACATTTTAAGTCAATGACTGCAAGGGTAGAAGTGTTTATTATTCAATAAAATCTGTCCTCAGTTTACGTTGTGGTCTGGAAATAATTTCATTGGACAACTTTTCGTCTATTTGTTTAACCTTGAATCAGGCGCCAACCAATCAAAACAGTTTATTTTCTACTGACCCAGCTGACTTTTTATGTGTTTAAAGTGTATAAATATGATGCTTTTTTTCCTTAACACAGTCTGTTACCACTTCTTTCTCGTATCTTCTGCTCCTACACACACACACACACACACATCTACATAAAAAGACTTCAAGGTGTTCTTACATACATTTTATTTTATTGACAGACATGAGGTCACTCATCTTACTGGATTTGATTTGACAAATCCTCAGAATAGTCACACAATTCTCATTTTTAAAAATACACTTATATCTATCATTATCTATTTACTTATATGTTTATTGGAGTTTGTGTGTTGGCCTGGAACCTTTATTTTGTCTCTTAGTCAGGGGATTATTTATTTAAAGATAAGTTTTCACTGAAGATATTATGCTTAAAAAACAACAAAAACAACAACAAATGACCGAAGAAATATATTCTTTTCCTTCAATGGCCAAGTTAAATTAAGCGCCAAGTAAGCCATCAATAGAGTGCGACCGATCGCACCAATGCCCTTTAAAACACACAGTGAGAAAGTTAGTGAATTTATTATTATCATTATTAATTCCTTCACGTTCCCAGTGGAACATAGGGCTTCAAGCTAGAGGCTTGAAGTTTCTGTAGCAATGGTGATCATTTTTACAGGATGGGTTCGCTAGCCTCATACCCAACCTTTCCTCTTTACCAGCTTTATTACTGGCTTAGCGGGGTAAAGGAGTGTGTCCGTGGCCGGGAATTGAACCCCGAGCCATGTGCACGGTCGGTGAGCACGTCCTAACCACTGTGCCATAGACGCACAAAGTTAGTCAAACTTGGTAAATAATATCCTAATCATGAATACAGTATGCCTAATGAAGTATTATGTTACCAAATGGAGTCTCAACTTAGATTTGGGAAAGATTATATAGAGGTTTAAGTTAAGAAAAGATTAGGGTTATAAGATCTAGATTATTCCATGTCACAGAATATGGTTAAATCACTCTAGTGATACTCCAGTTCAAAATTGAGACGTGTATTTGTCACACGTCGGGGTAAGGTATCCTGTATAACAGTTTCATCCATTTTAATTCATTATTTTTCATGAAAGATCGTTTTTATTATATGGTTGGTGCGCTTAAGGTTATTTGTCCGGTGGTACTTAATGATGCTTAAAGTTTAAATTTTTCAATTCAATAAGTTCCTCATTATCGACTGGCTCTACAATAATACATATTTTTTCACATCGAAAGTATACCAATCATGTGGGTATTTTAGTCAATCAGTTTTAGGTATACGGGGGGGGGATTGAGGTGAAATTAACAGGTTAAAAGTCATCAAAACAATTAACTCATAGATATCAATAACAAGATATCTTAGATTTGAAGGAGGGGTGAAGATTAATTAAGGGAATTCTACGAGGTCACTATGTAACCAGACGGTCCTGGGTTCGAACCCCGGTGGGTGCGTACTGATGAAGAGTCCCAAACTGGGCTGACGAAACAGCTGTCCAGTACTCCCAGTCGGTTTTCCAATGGTTCTCTAACTGATGTCAGCTAATGACGAAATCCTTCATGCAATCAAACAAACAAACAAATACTTGAAAATAATAATTATTATTAATTCATTAGCTAATAGGCACACAAACACATACAGAATACTAAAACTATTTATAAAAAACAAACCTCTTGATGGTGAAAATTCAGCATTCTTTTCATCCCTAGACAAGTTGATTGATCTTCTGATTGAACTGTTTCGCCTTCGACCACGTCTACTACTATTTCATCCCTGAACGCTTCAATTCATTAGTATTATTACTAGAATAACGTGGTGTATAAGATCGCCTATTATTATTATTATTTACATACATATTTTGTGATTTGGATGACAATAATGAATTTGAAATATTCGATAAATATGGTTTAACCACGTCATTGATCCAACTCTCTAACCATATGATATCATCATACAACATTTCATTCTCTCTATCTACACTGTGACATTGTTTTGCATTAGATATAATTAGCCTTAAATCATTCAACATATCATTCGGTGTATATTCACATTGAAGTTGACCACGAAGAAAACGTTGCTTGGATGCATTCAATTTACTTCGGGCTGTGATTAACCTGTGTTGAATCAGTGATAAATCCATTGGATTTTCAATAGCCTCATGATATTGTGGATATTTAAATGGATTTATAGGTCTGGCGAAAAATAAACTTCTAGGATTATTCGATAACGTTTTGATCATACCTAAACTTCGAGTGATCCAAGATCTTAGGAGGATAAAACAACCGCTTCTAGTTAAGGTAGTATTCCTCGGAGGCGGCGGTGGCGACGTTGCCAGCGATGATGATGCTGATGATTTCTCCTCTTGCATCACATTGAATCGGTTACGTAATGTGGGACTCTTTAGGTCATCACTACCACCACCACTAGTAGTGCTACTATTGTGATTGTCCACATAATGGCTGGCAGACTCTGTACCACCACTTATTGACAAGTTGGCTAACCTTGACGATGACCTTCGACATACTTCATTCTTTTGTTGTTGTTGTTCAGTAGACTGAAATCTACTGCCGAATTTCCGCTTCCTACCAAAATACTGTATTCTACTTTGATGAGTACGTCGCCTTCTTCTTCTTCCAGTGACATGACGAGTTTTAGGAGGATTCAATGATGAAGAAGAAGGAGAAGCAACAGTCGATAACAAAGCATGAGTATTGTTGTTTTCTGAATTCAGTGGAGATGGAATACTGGAAGACTTGAGAACTTTATACCTTTCCAGAATATCAGACTATAATAAAAAAAACATTGAAAAAACAAAACAAAGTTTAAGACAAACTTATATACACACCGACAATTAATATACACTTCCGATATTACTTGACACAGTAAGCAATAATGAGCGTAAAAAAAGGACAAAACGTTCAGCGAAAGAGACACTCGTCCCGGCGATTTCACTCTGAAGCTGTACAATCGCGTAGATACACATATAATTTTCTTAACGAACAAAAGGAATATTTCCAAAAATGTGTTATTATAATCGTAAATATCTTAGGTAATCTCAGTACGGATCCAAAAAGCTCGGGCTGCTTTCGCTAACTTACACCGTCTCTGGTGTAGGCGTGACACCCGGCTATCAACCAAGGGACGTGTGTACTGCTCAGCAGTTCGCTCCGCCCTTCTCCGTGGCTCTGAAACATGACCAATACGAGTTGAAGACATGAAAAGGTTGACTGTTTACGATCTCTTTCTCGCGTTAGGTGGTATAATAAGGTAAGTAATGTTGACGTTAGGCGTAGAATGTTGGGCAAAGAAGGAAAATCAATCGACGAGGCTATAAAGTTACATAGATTGAGATGGCTAGGTCACGTGCTGCGCATGCTTAGCCATCGCCTCCCCCGACGGACGGGCATTACTAGCTGATATAGGTGCAGGTTGGAAAAGAGTAATTGGTGGCCAAACAAAAACATGGCCTCATCAATCCATGAAATCCCTGACAGTTAAACTGAGTCAGATAGGGAGGGAGATGCAGACTTCCGGGTTGGGGCCCGCCCTCGGGACTCTAAGAATCAATGGCTGGAGACAATAGGTGACATGGCTCAAAATCGTTGTCAATGGCTTACGCAGATGTATTCAGTCTCTGTAATCTTTCATATTCCTTTCTACCATTACTCATTCATTCTGTTTCACTCTTATACTTGTCAAAACTCTATTGATTTTCTTCACTCATTTTCTTGTCTACCTTTGTGTGCTATTTGGAACGTGGCAACTCGAACTGCTGCACTTCGGTGCGAAGTTCTATGTTGAATCCAGACAGAAATATCTTAGGTCACAAAAAATGTAGAAACCGCCTGTCTCACTGCTTATCAAAAGAAAACTTCCTTCGCGGCTGAAACTCGACTGACTTCCTCTACAAAACCAATGATTCGCATCGACGTGAACATGGATAAGCTACCGCTTCTGACTACCTCATTAAATGTGTATCTATCAATTCACCGGCTAGTGTGTGGAGCTAGGTATGTCAACCCTACATCCAGAGCTGTCTATTCAAACGTAGCATCGAATACTCACCCTCTTATGGCTTTATGGTAGTGAAAAGAGATTTCCACCCCGCCACAGTAGCTCTATCCTGGAACATCTCCCATCGAATCTGGACACCAAGCTAACCACCACAAGCCAACTTCAAAGTTATTTACAGGAAACATGCGAATCCTACTAAAACAGTGCAAATCAAACTTCTTTAAACCGTGGAAGCAATAGGGGTAATTCACATGTTAAATCCTGAACTCTGCATACAAAAAGGAGTTTGCTCAGTCATCAAATCTACAATGGGCTTGTTCTGTTTGTCTTAATACTGGATACGTAACATTTGTGTTTTTTATTTCTTATTTCTATTATTTTCTCCCCTCACTCCCATTATTAAATTTCCTACCTCTTATCACTACTGTTGTTAACTTGACGACTGTCGGTTAATTTCAGCTGAATTCTACTCCGCCTTGTCAAAAAAGTTATGTGAAAACCTTGATATGATTATGAGCAGCAATAAATTGTGCTCAAAACATCATCAGTAAATATTACTTTATAAAACTGTGATTTTTATCAAAAAATTTTTTTATCCATGATGGGCTAAATTTACTTATTTGATTTTATTGTACATAAAGTTTCTATGACCCAAGAAAGGTGTATGCATGACTGCAACTATCCGCCCCTAAATAGAGGCAAGCTTCTTTTGGCAATATGGTATGAATTCCACATGTGTGACATTGAGTGGAAGACCTCTGACTTTCGAAGACGGAGGAAAACTAGTTACTTTTTACCTGGTGCACTAGTGAAATCAACTTCTATAGTGTGTCCTCCAGGAAGTGGAAATTACATAATGGTGAATACAGCTTAGCTGAACATTCAAAACTTCGATTGTTTTCAAGGTTGTTAGCAATCAGATAGGGTTTTATCTTTGAATATAGATGAAACAATGTGTAAAGAGTAATGCCCTACACGGATCACGGAAACACATAAAGTGGTAAATCCATCAAATTGTGAAAGATCATTACAACATGAATAAGTGTACTTTATATATCGCACGGTGATCCAATATTTACCACTGGATGATGTTTCGAGAATAAATTAATGCCGTTCATACTCATATCAATTAGTCACACAGTTTCACAATTTGTCTTACATATATTTTGTATCTCTCCAACTTCCGTTTGTTACCAATTTTCATATGTCCGGCATAGTCGTTACGTCATTCCAACTGCACGTGTGCAGTGTTGAATCGATAAACAAACTTTCAGTGATTAATCGCTTGCTCCACCTAACCACTATAATACTTTTTAAGACTTTCACCCTGTCCTACCCACCATATTTTGTGGTTACATGCAATGCAACGATTGAACTCTGTTTTTTCTAGGTTATTTAACTTAACAGGGGCTTAGCTACATTTTTACGTGCCAATAATCTAATTAACCCCGATCTACTAATACTAGTTTGACGTATGTAATTTACCTCACTAACAGTAATTACATGGTATTTGGTAAATTATATTATTTCTCTTAACTGGATCTATTGGGGGAGGGGGTTCTTAAGCCCACAAATTTGATCTCTCTTTGGTTGCTATATATTCCATCCTCATTGAGAATCCTTCTTTCGACGGAAATACCATGGAGGCTTTGAATTCTACATTAGTTTTGTAATTTTCATTACTAACCTTAATGTTTTCTATGACTCTTCATATATCTCTGAATAAATTCTGTTGAGGATTTATTCACTAGTATTAATTTCCTTTTTTTCTTTGTTTTCATTATTTAAATCTCTCCAGATTGACTTACTAGTGAGGTTCCTGGACGACTGATAATACAGGCATTCCACTGAACCCACCTATCTTTACCGATTCTAGGTTGGGATGAGTTACAGTCTAAGCATTTATTAGAGTCAGTGCTTGTTTAACACTAACTAATACCTATAATTGTATATACATTGATGGATTTACATGTTCAAGTTGGCTCAAGTCAGTGAATCTATGATTTTGGTATCATTTAGGTTAACTGTAATTGACTGTGATATTATTATTGTTGTTGTCGCTTGTTACCCTTCTTGTTGTGAATTATTTTCCCGTGCTGGTGTTTTTCTGCTTGTTTATTCCCTGTTTTCCTGGTTTTAAGGGGAGCAACCCACAAGGTCGCTTCTCTCTAAATTATAATTTAATGTAACAACCCCCCTTCTCAGGCGTGAGGCTAGCAACTCCACCCTGTAAACAAACCTGCTACAGAAACTTCAGCACGATGTATCTCCTTGAGACAAAAGAAAAAGTCTGTGTGGGGACATGGAATGTCCGTACCATGTATGAGATTGGCAAAGCTGCCCAGATCGCAAACGAAATGAAAAGATACAGAATTCAGGTACTGGGAATATGTGAAAGCAGATGGAACGGGGCCCTATGTTCCTGTAGGAATTAAAGGATACAATAAATAACAATAATAATAAGAGTCAGTGTCGGTTTGCTATAAACGCTAGCAGCATTTAACCCACCAACTATCATTTTAATTTAATATTAATTTTATTATAGCTTGACTCCACACGCTATTTTTGATACAAGTATGGAATTTCCAGCATGTGATATTGGTAGCCTAAATTTTGCTGGCCGGCTATTGATATCAGGTGTACTTCGGCCGGAGATCGAACCCAGGACCATGTGCATGGGGTCAGCGAGCGTCCTAACCACTGCGCCACCGACGAACCTTGTTTTCGTTTTATTCTACAGTCTAGATCATGAAATTGTGGGATAATATTGAACCACAGATTAGACGACAAAAAACAAAAAAAAAACAGAATAGTAGTAATAATAATAATAATAATGATAACTTACACTATCAACAGTATTTTCAATACAATATAATCCTAACTGACAAACTAATTGAGCATTTTGCACAATAATTGAATCAGGCAGATTATAACGTTCAGTATTTTCTAGTAATTGTATAAAATCAGATTTTAAAGATTCCGGTTGACGATAAAATCCATTGAGGAGACGATTTAGTATGAATGTCAAGTCAATTGGAAATGCATTAATAAATAGATAATCTGGATAAGCTGCTAAATCAACCGGTTGTATAAAATCATCACTAATCTCTAACGTCATTATCTAAACGAAAAAAAAATAAGAAAAGACAATAATATTATAGGAAAAGAGAGTATGATAGATGAAGAGTACACAGATCTATGAAGTATCTTCCAGTGATCCCCTTAATTGAGAACTAATAAAAAAGGAGACCTTCAGAGATATGGTCAGAAAATCTGGTAGATGCTCCCCTCTTTCTCCTCTCCATGACTTCCTATGTACTTGTTGCCGCAAGTGTAGATGAATTGGTAAATGCAGATGGACTTGACATGAGCAGAATACTTATCTATGTTTGACCGAGTTAGTGAGCACATCGTGTTGTAAAGTGGAATGAGTCTGTCAGGTGAGAAATGTTCTTTTCAATGTCGCTTTAATTCTGTTTTCCGTTCTTATAGATACTTCTTCACCTTTCTACGCACTTCGGGAAACAGTTTAGCTGGCCACCAGCTTCATTGTCTGCTGTCATTAGCCCCAGTGCTCCTTGGTCGGTTAATACCGACCCACCCACCGAAGCGGAGGTCCGTAAGGAACTCAAAGTGTTAAAACGCTATAAAGCGCCAGGCCCAGACAATTTACCCCCGGCTCTTTTTAAAGATGGTGGCGAGACTCTCACAATGGCTCTAACTGGGTTGTTCAGGAAGGTATGGGAAACTGAGAGTGTACTATCAATGTGGAACGAAGCCATCATCGTCCCTATCGACGTAATTCGTGTGACAATCATAGGGGTATCAGTCTGCTACCAGTCGCGTCTAAATTATTGGCTTCTGTCTTGCTTCGCAGGCTGTGCAAAGTACGTGAAGGATTGATTCGCGAAGAGCAGGCTGGGTTTCGTTAAGTTCGTCGATGCATTGATCATGTGTTCACTCTTCGTCAGTTGTTGGAACACCGCCACACGTATTGCAGGCCAACGATCGTTGTGTTTCTTGATATTAGGGCTGCCTTCGATTCGTTGGACAGAACTGTGCTCTGGAACTGTCTGTTAGAGACAGGTGTACCTGAGAAATTTGTTAACATCTTGAAAGCCCTATACAGAAACACCTCAGGTAGAGCGAGGGCATACAACCAACTATCATCACTGTTCCCAACCAACAGTGGGGTTAGACAGGGTTGCCCAATCTCTCCATTTCTCGTTAACTTTGCCATAGATGACATTCTGGAGTCAGCTCTGAAGGATGTGCGTGAAGGTGGTGTAGATCTGCTACCTGAAGATAGACTTTTCGACCTCGAGTATGCAGACGATATCGTCTTACTGTGCGATAGCATGCAGGCTGCCCAAATCGCACTTAATCAGTTGGCGATCAGTGTCTGTAAGTATGGTATGTGCTTTGCACCGTCCAAGTGCAAAGTACTGTTACAAGATTGGCTGGAGCCAATACCTGCACTCACTCTTGCGGCTGAACCGCTTGAATTTGTTGATAAGTTTGTGTATCTAGGTAGTTGTGTGAGTGCTGGCGGAGGGGTGACGGATGAGATTTCCAACCGTATAATGAAGGCTAGGGTGGCATACATCAAATTGAGCCACCTCTGGCGCCGTCGTAACGTTAGCCTGGCTGTCAAAGGTCGGGTATACAATGCTTCGGTGCGGGCGGGCTGTCTTGCTCTACGCCTGTGAAACCTGGCCTCTCCGAGCTGAGGATGTGAGGCGACTCTGCGTGTTTGATCATTACTGTCTCCGCGGGATTGCTTGCGTTCGATGGCATCATCGCGTGAGTAATTTTGAGGTTTGGCAGCATGTGTTTGAACACAATGGAGATCACCATTTATTGAATGTCGTTATCTGGAAACACCGGCTCCGGTGGCTTGGACATGTGCTGCGAATGTCATCCCAGAGGCTTCCATATAGCTCTCTGTTCGCTAGCCCTGGGACGGGATGGAAAAGGCGGAGGGGTTGTCAGTCCATGATGTGGCGTCGTGGGATGAAGGATTTTTGTGCTAGATTAGCATCGGTTGGTGCGTCATGACTCCCTGGTTGGTGTCCGCGAGATAGCTCGAATCGATGGCTCGAAACGTTATCAGATATGGCCAAGGATCATAATCAGTGGCGAACGTGTTGCAATTTTCTTCTTCCTTGCCTTCCTGGTGATATTTAATGAATACTGTTTGAACTTATTAAACATGACTGTTTTCCTTCCAGATGAAGTTCTTTATCCGTTTTCTACTTATATTTTTACTTTTAATCTATGTTGTTTTATTATTATTGTGTGGCGCATCTTTCTTGGTGCCATATTGTACCAAGTTTTTTCTGCGTTTAAATAAATAAATAATAAATAAAATTTTACGCTAGACATTTTTTTAACTACTTCGGGTTTCGCTCTAGGTGATTTTTCTTTCCCATATTTTGATTTGAACTTCCGAGGTTATCCATTTTCGATGAATGCTAGTTCCTCTTCGAATTTATCTTCTGAAAACACTGTCCTAGCTCTGTTGAAGAGCATTTTAACCAGACTCCAAAAATATTTCATGAATATACCTGCAGTAATAGGTGGTTTTCTTTATTTCTGCGTGTATTCGAGTCTATTCACGATGAGTCATGAATATATGGGCAAAAACAGGACCTAAAGGTGGACTCATAGCCACCCTGTCAATTTGCTGGTACAGCTAGTTGTTGAATCGGAACTGAATATTCTCTGTACCAAGAAGTAGTAATTTTCGTAGCTCGTTTTCAGGAAGAGAAAGTAGTCCTAGTTTTGGTCTCTTCATCAGTACGCACCCACTGGGGTTCGAACCAAGGACCTTCTGGTTAAAAGGCGAGCTCGTAGACCATTAAGATCATCAATTTTCTGCTTAATTACGGTCCTTTTGAAAGAATAGTAACTAGGTTATTCATTGAGAACGATATCACCAATTGTGTCCAGCCTTCATTGGTTCTTACCATCCTGAGGACACCAACCAGGTAGTCTACACCTACATGGCTCAAACTAATTGCCAATGATTTCATGGACTGATTGCAAGTGTTGGTTTGACCACCACTAGCTCTTTCCTAACCTGATCTTATGTCAACTAATACTGTCCGTCGAAGAAGACGATAACTAGACATGCGTGACACATCTTAGCCGATTCAATCGATGCAGCTCCATAACCTCATCGATTGACATTCCCTCGTTACCTAAAACTTGAGTATTAAGTATTAGTCGCTATATTAAACCACCTAACACAAGAGATAGAACAGACACCTACGACTAAAGATACACAGCTAGCCTTTTCATGTCTTTCATTTCCAATGGTCATATCTCACAGCCATATAGGAGGATGGTGCGAACTGCTACTTTGTACAAATATCCTTTGATCGATAACTAGCTGGATATCAAGTCTACACCAAAGATAATGTGAGTTGGCGAATACCACATAAGGCTTCAGAATTAGTGCTGAGGTTTCGCGTCAACAATCAGCCCGTTGGGATTGATGCTACAACTTCCCAAACGAGTGAAGTGGTGGCCAACACTCTCTATCACTACACTCCCTTTCGTTAAGATGACAAGTGACTTCTGAAAGTAACCTATCTCTCCAACTCAGGCGTTCAGCAGACAATCACTGACGCACAACTAGTAAATTGAAAACATAACACAAGTAGAATAGTGCCGGGAATTGAAACCCTGACAACATGAATGGTCGGCGAGCATTCTACCGCTGTGCCACCGACGCACAGTAGAATAGTGCAATAGTCCTAAATTGACGACATTACGTCAAGGCACCTTTACAGGAATTAAATATTTTTGTAGATCATCAATATCCGAACGATCAATAAAGCAAAGAAATCTCCACTGATAACTGCTACATTGCCAGTTACCCAATCACTCAATTTCTCTTTAACTTTGACAGCGATGATATAGTGTAGTCAGCTTTGAAGAACATGCATGGTGGTGGTGTAGATCTGCTTCCTGAAGAAAGACTTTTCAGCCTCGAGTATGCAGAGGATATTGTCTTACTGTGCAATAGCATGCAAACTGCCTAAATCGAACTTTATCAATTGGCAATCAGTGTCTCCAAGTGTAGTATATGCTCTGCTCCGTGTAAGTGAAAAGTACTGTTACAAGATCAGCTGCACGCACTCTTGCAGGTAGAGACCACTTGAACATTGTCGGTAACTTCGTGTATCTGGGTAGTTGTATGAGTGCTGGCAAATGTGTGACTGACGAGATTCCCAATGGTATCAGAAAAGTTAGTATGGAATGCGCTAGTTTGGGCCACCTCCAAATCCGTCGTGACGTTAGCATGATTGTCAAAGGTCTGGTTTACAACGCTTCGGTGTGTGCAGTCTTGCTTCACGCCTACGAAACCTGGTCCCTCCGAGCTGAGGATATGCGGCGACTATGCGTATGCGACCATCTCTGTTTCCGTGAAATTGCTTGCGTTCTTTGGCATCATTGTGTGAGTAATTCTGAGGTCCAATAGCGTGTGTTTGGACACGGTAGAGGCTACCATTCATTGAATGTTGTCATCTGGAAACAGCAGCTTTGGTGACTTCGATATCTGCTACGAATGTCATCCCAGAGGCTTCCGTACCGGTCCCTGATCGCTAGCCGCCAGCCTTGAGACGGGATGGAAAAAGTAGGGGGTTGGTCAGTCAGCCCATAACGCGGTGTCGTGGGATGCATGATATTCGTGGTAGGTTAGCATCGGTTAATGGTTCATCACTACTCCCTGGTTGGAGTCCGAGAGATAACTCGAATCGATGGCTCGAAACGTTATCCAATATGGCCAATAATCGTAATCGGGTGTTGAACGTGCTGTAATTTTCTTATTTCTTCCCATCCTGACAATAACTCGACGATGTTCGATCTGGGTAATTATAACTTCTTCCTTCCCAGATGAAGTGTTTTATTTATTCTCCACCTACTTTTTTTCGCATATGCTGTTCTCCCATTAATATAAGTGTGTGGTGTATCTTCTTGGTGCTTATACTGTACCAGCTATTGTGTGTTAAATAAAATCAAGTAATGATAAAGTAACGCAAAAATGCATAAAAGCGCATAGGCAATTGCAATGCAAAATCATGGCTAAGCACTGTAACACAACAATCAATAATAATCAACTCCTCTACCTGAGCAATACATTCAACAATACGTTTAATTTCTGATAGATAAGCATCTGATTGATGAGTTACATTCCAATATTTTGAAGTCCCATAGAGAAGACACAATTGTTCATGTGAAATATACACATATCCATTAATTAGACCTCCGGACAAAGTATATTCTGCAGTGACAAAAACAACAACAGCAACAACAAAAGTGAACGAACTTACAATTTGAAAATAAAAACAGGCGACTCTTTACAGCGAATTCATTATCAAGCAGAACAATCGTACACATATATGTATGACTAGTGCGTCAGTGGCACAGCGGTAGAATACTCGCCAACCACGCAGGTGGTGCGGAGTTCGATCCCCGGCTGACGTTCACCTTTACCTCGGCTGAGACCAGTATTAAGACTGGTATATAGGCAAGGTTGGGCATGAGGGGATAACATTCTCATCCGGTCGGTCGGTCGGTTTTCGACATAGAACTTTGCACTGATGTGCGGAAGTTCAAGTCGCCACACTTCCTCCATGTAGCACACAAAGTAAGAGAAGAAAGTAGGAGAAATGCATAATAATATAGACAGTAAACAGAGGTGTGAGACAAAGGAATAGCAATAACGAAGAACAATATACTTTAATTGGAAATCATAAGTCACAAGGAGTGGATGCATCTGCGCCACCCATTGAGAACGATTTTGAGCCATGTCACCAATTGTTTCCAACGATTGGTTTTTACCATCCTGGGGACCCCAACCACGAAGTCTACACCTTCCTACTTGGCTTAGACTAACTGTTGTAGATTTCGTTGACTGGTGCCATGTTTTCGTTTGACCACCGCTAGCTCTTTTCCAGCCTGGCCCAATATCAGCTAACATTGCCCATTGTCGAGGAAGGCGATGACTAGGCATACGTAGCACATGTCCTAACCATCTCAGTCAATGTAATTTCACAGTCTCGTCGACTGATTTCCCCGCCTTACCTAGCACTCGACGCCTAACCTCATCCGGTAAAATTAAACACCACTGCTACCGGAATTTCAAGCCTCTAGCTTGAAGCCCTATGTTCCACTGGGTACGTAAATGAATAAATAATATAATAATATTATGTGAATACATGAAATAATAATAACAATAGTAGTAGTATGAAATACAAACAAAAGGCCTATGATAATAATCACAGTTCAGTGTGAAGTGGTAAAACAACTAACGTCATATTGAGAAAAATGTATAGGATGTGCACACTGACTGTCTGATTGGATTCAACGTAGAACTTCGCACCAATGGGCAGCAGTTCGAGCTGCCACACTCCCTCCATGTAGCACATAAAGCAAGATAAGAGAGAGAGTAATGAGAGATTCAACAAAAGAGAGACAATAAACACAAGTGTGAGTGAGGCGAAAAGAATAGTACTAATATGGAAGAAGAATAGAGTTTTATTATGTATGACAAATCACAAAGAGTGAATACATCTCTACCAGCAAGTGACAACGATTTTCAACCACATCACCATTTGTCTACAGTCACTGGTTCTTAGAATCCTGAGGATTCGAACCAGACAGTCAGGAAGTCTACACCTCCCTACCTGGTTGGCCTAAACTGACTGTTATGGATTTCATTGACTGATGAAGCCATATTTCGGTTTGACCACCACGAACTTTTTTCCAGTCTGATCCTACTCTGTCAGCCAACACTGTGGTTCGAATAAGGCGATGACTAGGCATACAGCATATATAACACATGTCATAACCATCTCAATCGCTGTAGATTCACAACCTCATCGATTGATTTTCCCTCCTTACCTAGCACTCGACCGATGCCTCACCTCAATATTACTCACCCCACCATACCACCTAACATGGGAGATAGAACGCAAACACCTATAGAGAGTAGAGAACTTGATAATAAATTCGTTGAAAGGAGTCTCTTCACTGAATCACTTGTTTTGATTTTCTATATGTCACAATGGGAATTTTCCATGAATTTAAAAACAAAACTAACAATTCTACTGGGGCAGTGGCGTGTTAAGTAGCAGTGGAACAGATTCACTCGACTCACTGACTGGTTTTAACTTTGTACCGATGTGCAGCAGTTCAAATCGCCACACTTCCCTTAACATATAAAGCAAGAGAAGAGAGTAAACAGAAATGCAAAACACAGATGAGGCAAAAACAATAGTAATTTCAAAGAACAATATGGTTTTATTGGGTATTATAAGTCACAAGGAGCGGATGCATCTGCGGTAACCATTGAGAACGATGATTTTCAGCCAAATCACCAATTTTCTCCAGCCATTGGTTTTTACCGTCCCGAGGACCTCAAATGATCCGTTCATCAGTTGGATCAGAGTCTTCTGAACACCTTGAGCAGCAATCTTCGTATGTTTCGCATGCGATTCGCCCCTGTAAAATGTAAGATGCTGCTACAGGACCGACTGGACTACGTCAACTCCTAGCTTAGTGATAGGGAGTGAAGTGATAGAACATGTTGACCACTTCACCTATTTGGGAAGTTGTATCAACACCAACGGATTGATTGGTGATGAAATCTCATCATGGATCCAAAAAGCTCGGACTGCTTTCGCTAACTTACACCGTCTCTGGCGTAGGTGTGACATCCGGCTATCAACCAAGGGATGTGTGTACTGCTCAGCAGTTCGCTCCGTCCTTCTCTATGGCTCTGAAACATGGCCAATACGAGTTGAAGACATGAAAAGGTTGACTGTTTTTAATCATAGATGTCTATGATCTCTTTCTCACGTTAGGTGGCATAATAAGGTAAGTAATGTTGACGTTAGGCGTAGTGTTGGGCAAAGAGGGAAAATCAATCGAAGAGGCTATAAAGTTATATAGATTGAGATGGCTAGGTCACGTGCTGCTCATGCCTAACCATCGCCTCCCCCGACAGGCGTTACTAGCTGATATAGGTGCAGGTTAGAAAAGAGTAAGTGGTGGTCAAACAAAAACATGGCATCAATCCATGAAATCCCTGACAGTTAAACTGGGTCAGGTAGGGAGATGCAGACTAACGGGTTGGGGCCCGCCCTCGGGACTCTAAGAATCAATGGCTGGAGACAATAGGTGACATGGCTCAAAATCGTTGTCAATGGCTTACGCAGATTTATTCAGTCTCTTTAACCTTCATATTCCTTTCTACCATTACTCATTCTGTTTCACTCTTATACTTGTCAAAACTCTATTGATTCTCTTCACTCATTTTCTTGTCTACCACCTTTGTGTGCTATTTGGAACGTGGCAACTCGAACTAGTGCACTTCGGTGCCACGTGCTATGTTGAATCCAGACAGACAGACAGAGGACCTCAACCAGTCAGGAAGTCTACACCTTTCTATGTGGCTGGCTGGCGTAAACGAACTGTTGTGGATTTCATTGACTGATGAAGCCATGTTTTGGTTTGACCACTCCTAACTAGCTCTTTTCCAACCTGACCCTATGTCAGCTAATAGATTCACCGATAAACCCCTGCTCCTTGCTGATAGTGTGAATCACAATATACCCAAACACACATGCAATAAAAAATAAAACAAACAGACAGCAAATATTACTACTACCAATAATAAACAAAGTTTCACACACACACACACTGTGTTGCATACAGGCCACATACCTAAAGAGGTGGTGCCATCTTCCTTCATTTCACTTTCTGGATACCATTTATACATATCCCATGCATTTAAATGATCACAATTCTCTGGTAACTTTTCTAATGATGTCATAATAACAGCATCATCATCATCAACGTGTTGAAGGTTATTCATCATATTATCTATTATTGTACTATTATTAATTAGAGATGGTTCATTCTCATCTAACCAACGAACTAAGTAAGAAGTTGTTGATGCGTATAACGTCGATGGATCAAGCGTCATTTTTGATGTACTTGGTTGTGATGCCAGCGTATCTGTATTCATTAGACTTTTGATTACATAACCACGCCACCATGAATCACCAACTGGACATATAAATAAATCACCTAGGTAAAATGTACAAAAATAGAAGAAAAAAAGAAATATTAATACACCATTTAAGTGTAAAATCCCAGTCATTCCTTCATTCATTCTGTCGGGTGCGATACTACTACTGTGGTGAGAGCTGTCTGTTAGCCGAAATTGGTAAACAGAAAGACAAGCTTTCACTACTCTCAAGTCTGTGTGGAGGTCAACAGCACTCAGCATCAAAAATAACATCCGGATTTTCAACTCCAATGTGAAGTCAGTCAGTGCCACTCACTATACGGATCAGAGACTTGCACTGCGCGTCATAAAGAGCATCTCAAACAAACTACAAACCTTCATTAACAGTTGTCTTCGCTCAATACTCAAGATCAGATGGCCGGCCAGAAAAGATCAGCAACAAAGATCTCTGGGAACGAACCAACACAGCAGGAACCGATTGTGAAATAAATAGGCAGAAAGAAATGGAGATGGATTGGCCATACTCTGAGGAAACAATGCATCAAGTGACATCACTAGACAAGCCATTGCTCGAGTGGAACCCGAAAGGGAAGGGGCGAGTTGGTCGTCGGTGCGAAGGTGGGGTGACTTGGAGGAGGTCATGTGAAGAGGAGATGAAAACGTGTGGGCAGACATGGAGCCAGGTGAAGACTCTAGCAGAGAACCGAACGCAATGGAGACGCACAGCTGAAGCCCTATGTTCCTCTAGGAATTAAAGGAAACAATAATAATAATTTACGTCAGTGTTTACGTCCCAAATCTTGGCCATGAGAAAAAAACAAGAACAAAGACTTTGCGCGGGCTGTTACGATTCGTAGATATATGGTATGACACCTTCACAGAAACGGCCGCAAAGAAATGACAGATTAACTTCCAGTGAGAAAACAACCAATCACAAGACGCTGTTTCTCTGTTAATAATAACGAATACTAATGTGCACAAAAAATCTATAAATATCTCTTGATTTCCTCGATAAACCATCTGTTACCTGGGCCTTGTCTTCTGTCGTTACACTACTACTACTGCTGATAGGAATCATGTAAGAACTGGTTAGTTCACATGGTTCCATTACTCACAGATGGCAATGAAGTTGAAAGTACATCGAATGTTAAATATCATAGATTGTATATTATTATTATTGTTTCTTTTAATTCCTAGAGGAACATAGGGCTTCAGCCGTGCGTCTCCATTGCGTTCGGTTCTCTGCTAGAGTCTTCACCTGGCTCCAAGTCTGCCCACACGCTTTCATCTCCTCTTCATATGACCTCCTCCAAGTCACCCTTGCACTGACGACCAACTCGCCCCTTCCCTTTCGGGTTCCACTCGAGCGATGACTTGTCTAGTGATGTCACTTGATGCATTGTTTCCTCAGAGTATGGCCAATCCACCTGCATTTCTTCCTGCCTGTTGCTCTTAGATTGTATATTTCCTACTAATGTTCCGTGGTCTTCCTACATTATGTTAGTTTTCAGGAAGATATTTCGTTTAACGTTCTACATAAGGAAGTTAAGACAATCTGACAATCATTCTGTCTCTAATTTCTAAGTTCGTCAATTCTTATATTCTGCCTAGCTTTCTTTACTGCTGTTTATCATCCCACCTTAATATTTCATAGGCTAATTAAGAAAGACTTTCTGTCTGTCTGTCTGTCTGTTTTCGACATAGAACTTTGCACAGATGTGCAGCAGTTCAAGTCGCCACATCCCATGTAGCACACAAAGGAAGAGAAGAAAGTAGGAGAAATACATAATGTAGACAGTAAACAGAGGTGTGAGACAAAGGAATAGTAATAACGAAGAACAAAACAGTTTCATCGGAAATCATAAGTCACAAGGAGTGGATGCATCTGCGCCACTGAGAACGATTTTGAGCCATGTCACCAATTGTTTCCAACCATTGGTTTTTACTGTCCCGAGGACCTCAACCAGGAAGTCTACATCTTCCTACGTGGCTTAGACTAACTGTTGTGGATTTCATTGATTGGTGCCATGTTTTGGTTTGACCGCCGCTAGCTCTTTTCCAGCCTGGCCCTATGTCAGCTAACATTGCCCACTGTCGAGGAAGGCGATGACTAGGCATACGTAACACATGTCCCAACCATCTCAGTCGATGTAATTTCACAGTCTCATCGATTGATTTCCCCGCCTTACCTAGCACTCGACGCCTAACCTCAATATTGCTCACCTGATTATACCACTTCACGCGGGAGATAGAACGCAGACACCTATGATCGAAGACAGCTAATCTTTTCATGTCTTCCACTCTCAATGGCCAGGTCTCACAGCCATAAAGGAGGACGGAGCGGACTGTTGAGCAGTACACACGCCCTTTGGTCGATAGTCGGATATCGCGTTTACGCCAGAGACGGCGAAAACTGGCGAATGCGAACCTAGCCCTCTGTATTCGTGCTGAAATTTCGTCGGAGATCAACCCGTTGGGGCTGATGGTACTTCCCAAGTAATTGAAGCGGACAACGTGTTCTACCACTTCACTTCCTATTTCTAATCTAGGGGTCGGTGAAGTCCAATCCTGCAGCATCACTTTACATTTAACAGGGGCGAGTTGCATGCCAAACATACGGAGATTGTTGCTCAGGGTGTTCAGTAGACTCTGCATTGTGTCAGAGTCCTCGCCTAGAAGGACTATATCGTCCGCATATTCTAAGTCAACGAGATTATTCCCTGGTAGCAAGTCAATCCCTGAGTCGCTGAAGTGTGATAGGGTTAAGTCCATTAGTACGTCTATGATGAAATTGAATAGGAATGGGGATAATGGGCATCCTTGACGGACGCCACTAGTCGTCACCACTTCAGATGACAACTCGCCGTAAGCCCTCACCTGGCTGCATGAGTACGAGTAGAGTGCCTTAATCAGTGCAATGTATTTTCTTGGCATTCCCTTTACAGCCAAGCATCGCCAGAGAACCTCCCGGTCGACAGAATCGAATGCCGCCTTTAGGTCAAGAAATATAATGATTGTCGGACGCCGGTAGGAATGCCTATGTTCTAGAATCTGTCGAAGGGTGAAGATATGATCAATACACCCTCTTCCTGGCCTAAAACCTGCCTGATTTTCTCGTGTTTGTGCCTCCCGAGCACCACTTAATCTACGCAGTATTATTGAGCCTAGGATTTTAGATACTATATTAGTCAAGCTAATCCCTCTGTGATTATCACAAGAAGACTTGTCTCCCTTCTTGTATATCGGGATGATCAGTGACTTACACCAACCCGATGGGACTTCCTCTGATTCCCAGACGCTGCCTAGGACCTCCGTTAACGCAGACAGTAAACTGTCTCCTCCGTACTTAAATACCTCTGGAGTCAATAAATCAGGTCCCGCTGATTTGCCTAGCTTCAGATTGGTAACAGCTTTAGTAACCTCAGTTAAGGACGGGGGACCTGTGTCTACCTCCCATTCAGGGAGGTGTTGGATGTTCGGCAGGCTAAGTGTGGCTGTGGGCCAATTAAACTGCTCCTCATAGTGTTCTTTCCAGCGCTCCAGACGTCTATCCTGGGAGCTAATTAAGGTGCCATTTTTCTCGAAGATTGTTTCGCTTATCATTTGCCTTTTACCACCTGTTTCCCTGATAAGCCTGAATAGTTGTCTGGTGTTGCCTATCGCCGATGCTTTTTCCATCTCTTTCGCCTTTGTCAACCACCACTGTTCACGGTCCTTGCGGAGACTTTTCGTAAGTTTCTTTTTGTGCAGCTTTCGCTCCTCATTGAATTCGGAGCTCGCCGGAATAAGTCTTCTAGCATCTATCAGTTCGGATGAGGCAGTCGAAATCCAATGGTTTTTACTCACCCTTGGATTTACCTTATTCACACCTTTTACAGCTGTATCTATGGCTGACTGAATATTCTTCCAGGCTTCTTCAGGGTGAGCGCAGCTGTCGAACTCAGATATGTGTTTAGCTAGTTCTTCCTCAAATAGGGACTTAGTTCCCTGGTCGAGCTGGGGACGTGATGGGTTTACCGCCAGCTGTTTCCTACGTCCGTTCAGTCGTAAGCACACACGAGCGCGAACCAGTGCGTGATCGGTATCTACACACGTGTTCCAGAAGGAGCGACAATCTCCTACCGACCCACGCCAACGATAGCTTATTGCTATGTGGTCTATTTGTGTCCAGCGTTGATTTGATGATGGGGGTCGCCAGGTCAAACAGTGTCTCTCCTTGTGTTTGAAGTTAGTGCTTACAAGAAACAAGTGATTATCTGAACAGAACTGTAGGAGACGGTCACCGTTGTCGGTTCGCTGGCACGGAATTCCGTATGTGCCACCGACATTCTTCTCAGATTGACACAATTTCCCCACTTGAGCATTAAAGTCACCAGCTAAAACGACTATATCTGAGCGTTTAGCCTTTCGCAGCAAACTAGACAGCTTTTGGTAGAACTCATCCTTCGTTTCATCCGAACTGCAGTCAGTGGGGGCGTAGGCGGAGATTACGAAAAGGCATCGGCGGGTAGTGCAGTCCTTTCTCCTTTTCACTGATCCGTTCAGGCGGACAGCACACATTCGGCTATCTACCGGGATCCAGTCAAGTAGTGTCTTTTCTGCTCTAGTACTTAAAGCTATCCCAATACCAGCTAATCCTCGTGAGCTAGCCATCGCATCTCCTGACACCCTCAAGGTGAATTTTGCAGATTCATCCTGTTGGCCAGGTGGGGTTAGGTGAATAACCACACTTGGGTCTTGTATGCGTGTTTCTGAAACACAACATACATCAATGGCTCGGGATGCCAGAGTCTTGGCTAGTGATGCTTGTTGTCCTATTTGGCAAAGTGTCCTAACATTAAATGCTCCTATATAAAATTGGTGGCGTGGTTTTAGGAGGCCATCGGTGGTGGCTTTTTGGCTTCCATCGTTATCAGTGCGCACAGAGTGAAGAGGAAGTAGAGGAGTTGCATTGGTAGAAGGAAGGCAAGATAGTAGAGATGAAGATGAAGACAAAGATGAGCGAGGATTAGAGGGGTTTCGCGTGCACTTCGGATTGTGAGGGCGATTGTTACTTCCCGGCTGCCCACACCGTGGAAGTTGGTTGCGTGACCGCAGAGCCCAGGGGACAACTGCTTGAGGCCAGTCACACACGGCCTGTTTTTGTTTGTTCCTTTTTATTTGGTGTGTCTCAGTAGCGTATTTATCACTTCTGCCCTGTGACACGGCAGCAGAAAGCGCGGTCGTTGTTAATCCGGGCCCCGACCGATCCGGCATGATATTTTGTGATTTATTTGAAATCATAGGATAGGATTGGGTAACTGCTTTTAGTCTAACTGCTATCCAAACAACCTTTCTGGCATGGTAGGACCTGCAGGAACATAAGTTCCAGCCAGTATAGCTTGTTGGGTCATTGCAGTGTTCAAGCCCGACCACCACGTCAAGGTAGCAGCTTTCGGTCGGGAAGAAAGAAAGACTTTGTTTCACATGAGTCCAAGTGCCTGTCAACCAGAATATTAACAAGCTGGTTAAGTGGCACGTTGCTTACCCTGCTGACAACCTTTAACATCCTACGTAATAAGGTATAGTCTTTCTTCAGTAGCCCGGGAAAAACTAAGGGTGAACAATAGAGAATAATGGGCAGAATGCGAGAGTTAACGAATTGTAGGAGTAAGGGTTGGGGAGTTATACCAGAATGTTTTAACTTCTTGATGTAGGAGGTAAGACGGAATATTTTCTTAGAAATCGTCAAGATATGAGACGACCAGGAAATATCAGCAGATAGAATGACGCCTAGGTATTTAATTTCCGACTTAGTTTCAATTTCAGTGCCATCTATGTTGCACATCTCGTGAGAGCCAACCAGTTTATTTAGGTCGGATTTATGCCTAAAGGTGCAATTGACTGTTTGGCATTTGGAGGGGTTTAAGGTAAGACCGTTTTCCTTGGACCACTGGCTGATTTCTGACAGAAGGCCATTTAGTTTAGAGCAGTCACTTTGACTCCTGCATAGACTCCTGCAGGAAATTAGCAAATATTATCTTATCAGACTGGGAATCCTCTTTAGACACACCTCTGTCTCCTTGATGCAGCATCTCATCAGGTAGGTGGAAATAGAAGCAACTATAGAAGACTACATACCAGTACAACTAAGTAGAAGAACTCTACAATACTTTAATTGGAAGGTACACATTTTATGTAATGAAGAAAGTATATGGCAGGGCATTATCAACTTACTGCAGGAATCCAAGTAAACGGCCCCATATATTTTTTTAATTGTTATATTGTTTTTAAAAGAATGGTTACTGAACAAAGAATATGTTTTTCGATAACTTCTTCATCATTGATATAAGAATAAAACTTGGGCACTGTGGTAGAGTGTAATTCCATTATGGGTAAATTTTATTTTTATAGAGTCTCACAGTGTTATACAGTAATATTTACTGATGACGTTTCGAGCACAATTTATTGCTCATAATCATATCAAGTTAATCACACGACTTCCTAAATTCATTTATATAGTTCCATTGTTTTTCAATCAATCATTGTTTTCAATCAAATCAAGTGAAAATCAAGTGAAAAACAATGGAACTATATAAATGAATTTAGGAAGTCGTGTGATTACCTTGATATGATTATGAGCAATAAATTGTGCTCGAAACGTCATCAGTAAATATTACTGTATAACACTGTGAGACTCTATAAAAATAAAATTTACCCATAATGGAACTTCTTCATCAGGCTCTACAGTTATATGAATCCATAATAGTTAATGAATTAGTGTCATTAACAACATTAGTGTTGTTTAAATAAAATCGAATCAATAGTAATAATATCAACGGATTACAGTTCGATAGCATCAACATAAAAATATTCACTGAGTATCAGAAAAATCAGTGGCTGGCTGCCTGACTCAAACTCTCTTGTTTTTGGTTTGACCACCACAACAATTCAAAGCTGATAACCATAGCACATCTACCAATCCAAAAAAACAACATTCGCATACAAAAATAGCGCCGAATTTCACACAACTACAAAATAACTAACTTACCTGGTTTCCATTTTCTTTTCAAAGCTGCATCAAATATCCTACGAAGAAAGATGAATTCTAAAATTCCATCAACATCATGATAAGTGACATAGATGGTTGTAGGCTGCTGCTGCTGTTCTTTACAGTTGTGTGAATAATATCCATCACTGGAGCTGGTATTATTATTATTACTATAACACTTTAAATTCTTGTAAGGTTGCTCTTGTTCAATTTCCAGGTGTAAAGTGATAAGTCGAACAAAACTATCCCCACTGTCATAGGATGATGAAGTTGGCAAAGGTGAGTGTGTACGTGTATTAGTGAAACTAGTGGATGCGACTACTGGACATTCACTAGTTTTCACTGATGCTGAAGAATTCGCTGATGATGAGGATGATGCTGACGACGACGTCGAGGAGGAGGAGGAGGCGGACGAGCACAATGGAAATTTCTGGTCTTCATCATGGCAGGTGGAATTTAAATCCTTTAGATTGACTAATTGTTGTGATTGTCGAAGACACTTCGTAGCGTAGGAATGTTTTCTTGTCTTCTTGTAACGTACATTGGAACGTGATGAATGCGACTGACTACCAGCAATACGTACAATATGATAAGTGATTTTGACGACAGTACAACATAAGAATTGCTATAAAATAGAACAGAGGAACAGAAGAGTATAAGTATGAATATAAAAGTATGTTCGTATATTGATTCCCCTTTATGAATTTGAAAAAAGTAAGAACAGCAACAGTTTGTGTAGAATAAGACAGCACCATTATTGTTTATTTCATTAACTTATCATCAGCAGTTTCATGTAGAGAACAATCTTCTAACATACCTGAAAATTTTTAAGTGACCTCTCAGTTAGCGACATGAGGCTAAAAAACTCCATAAACAGTGACAGGATCTTATAATAAGCTGACATCGATTAAAGAACCATTAGGAAACTAACTAGGGAGTACTGGACAGACAGCTGTTCCTAACATCCTAGTCTGAGATTCTTCACCCACAGCCACGCCAGGGTTCGAACCCAGGACCTTCCAGTTACAAGGTGAGCTAGTAGAAAATTAAGTTAGAAACTGGAAACTGATTTAATGGCCAGGTCATGGATTCCAATTTCTGCCAATTACCGATACAGCAAGACCACTAGCCGATGTCATCGCTGACGAGTATTTGTCATCACACCAGACGTGCTTAATGGTCTACGAGCTCACCTTGTAACGTGTGTGCGGCAGTTCAAGTCGCCACACTCCCTCCTTGTAGCACACAAAGCAAGAGAAGAAAGAAGAAGAAATGCGTAATATAGTCAGTAAACAGAGGTGTGAGACAAAGGAATGGTAATAACGAAGAACAAAGTAGTTTAATTGGAAATCATGAGTAACAAGGAGTGGATGCATCTACGCCAGCCATCGAAAACGATTTTGAGCCATGTCACCAATTGTTTCCAACCATTGGTTTTAACCGTCCCAAGCACCCCAACCAGTCAGGAAGTCTACACCTTCCTACGTGGCTGGCTTAGACTAACTGTCATAGATTTCATTGACTGGTGCCACGTTTGCGTTTGACCGCCGCTAGCTCTTTTCCAGCCTGACCCTATGTCAGCTAACATTGCCCACTGTCGAGGAAGGCGATGACTAGGCACACCTAACACATGTCCTAACCATCTCAGTCGATGTAATTTCACAGTCTCGTCTATTGATTTCCCCTTCGTACCTAGCACTCGACGCCTAACCTCAATATTGCTCACCTTATTATACCACTTCACGCGAGAAATGGAACGCAGACACCTATGATCGAACACAGCTAATCTTTTCATGTCTTCCACTCTCCTCAATGGCCATCAACTAGTAGCGCTTGTTAGCCATATCGAATTGATCCAAACACCGGACGACCACTTTACTCACTCAGGGCCGAGCTCATCAGCAGCATACACAGAGCAACTCAGTCCAGATAACCGAATCCTGACTTCCTACTTAGGCAAAGTGGCTATACATGGAATCATTGATTCTAAGGTTTGAGTCTAACTATAACACCTAAATATAATATTGTTCATAATAAACAAGAAAATGTAACAACAGCAATATTACATTGAAATAAATGAAGATATTTGACTGCTTTTATCACTATACTACTCGTAAGCAACTAGTATCTTTAGCACAATTTTCTCATTTACTTTTCACTGTCAGTATGCTTTCAACTTTAAATTGGGGGAGGGGGGAGATGTGATGTAATGACCGCACACACACATCCATAGACACACCAATCTTTCCTAATTACCATGAACCTTCATTTTCTTACTTTCCCGTCACTGTCATTATTATTATACAAGTAAGTTCTCCACGTCCTGACTTTCAGCTGGAAAACACGAATGATAATCTCTTAAAACCGATTGATCTTATGCGAAATCGGACATATGGTCACAATGGTCAAACAATGGATGCAGGTTGTATTCCTGAGAGCCACATTATCGCTACTTGACATCACCTGACCGACATAGAGAAGGTGCTTACGTTATACCGGTGTTAGATATATCGGCTAGTTCGTGTGAATTTGATGATGCAGCCCAATGCAGAGTGTGCGTCGGTGGCACAGCGATAGAATTCTAGCCAACCACGCACTCCTCTACCTCGCTAAGCCGGTAATAGAACTGGTAAACAGGCAAGGTTGGGCATGAGGCTAGCAACCCCATCCCGTAAAATTAAACACCACTGCTACCGAAACTTCAAGCCTCTAGTTTGAAGCCCAATGTTCTACTGGGAATGTAAAGGAATAAAAAAGAGCGCAATGCATAGATGTAGCTCATTGGCTTAATCAATAAGCTTTCAGCTAGTGATTCCCAAGTTTAAGTGATGCTCCACCCTTAACTTCAGCCTGGACGACTGCGTAGTATTTCTTCAGCACTCGCAAAATAGGTGGGGTTCATAGGCCAGTATTCGCACAATGTTAGAATTCATTTGATTGAATGTAATAGGGCTTTATTCCGATCAACCCTTTTGCATCATTGTGCATCGGTAACACAGCGGTTAGGACTCTCGCTGACCATGCACATGGTCCGCGGTTCGATACTCTGCCGAGGCACATATGATATCTATGGTCGGCCTGCCAAATTTGGACTACCGATAACACATGCTGAGAAATCGATACTTGTACCAAGAAAACGGTGTGGAATCAAGTTATAATAAAAAATAAATGATTATTATCCAGGATAGGAACAGATATCGTAACAACAGAAGACAAGGGCCAGGCAACAGATCGTTTATTAAGGAAATCAAAGCATATTTATATATTTTCATGTACATTATTATAGATTATTGTAAGCAAACAAACACAGTCTTCTGATTGGCGGTTTTTCGCTGAACGTTAATTTGCAGATTATCTATCCGTAAATTGTATCCGCCTACGCAAAGTTTGCTGTGATTGGTTGTTGAATCAGCCTATGTTCTTATTTTCTCACGACCAATATTGGGGACGTAAATTACTGTCTACCGATTTGGCTATCAGCCAGCTCTCAGCACAATGAGTCATATGACCGTAATTAATGAGTGGGAGAGGAAACCGTTGTGAAAAAGTCAATAAAATCAAGAGTTCTCTTTACGACTAACGATAAAATTGACTATAATCTCAGTTAACTGTCTGCATCATAAGTCTTATTTAGTGGTAAATTAATCAGTGCACAAGTTTAACCACTTGTTACCCAATGTATACACACAAAGGATGTAGACACTAATAATCGAGGAATTCATCACCACAAATATACACATACAATCACTTTATATGCACGGAAAACTTCAAACTTACAGGTATACCAGGCCAAACTATCCAAGGTGACTGTTGTTGTGGCGATGACCTATTATTTCCCTCTTTGCCGCCTAAGCCTTCCATCAACGGTAGACTTCCACATTCCCAAGCTTTAGATAAATAATCTTGATGACCACGATATAGGTAGACAACACGATCACCCGCTTGTGGTAGATATGGTGAAGCAGCAGGCGCCAACGTTGATAACCAATCGAAGTAAGGACCACGCCAACGAATGATATTTGTATACGGAAGAATAAAATTGTTTCCACTGACTCCTTCTTCTTCACCTTCACAGTTCGGAGAAAGGTAACAGTCTAATGGAATTCTAGATAACGGTAGTCGACTACCTGTCTGTAAAAAAGAAAATATATATTTATACAACTTTATAAGAATATTGAAATCTATTTATTTAAACGCAGAAAAAACTTTGGTACAATATGGCGCCAAGAAAAATGCGCCACACAATAATAATAAAACAACATACATTAAAAGTAAAAATATAAGTAGAAAACGGATAAAGAACTTCATCAGGAAGGAAAACAGTCATGTTTAACAAGTTCAAACAGTATTCGTTAACTATCATCAGCAAGGGAAGAAAGAAGGAAATCGCAACACGTTCGCCGTCGATGATTGCGATTCTTGGCCATATCCGATAACGTTTCGAGCCATCGATTCGAGCTACCTCGCGGACCCCAACCAGGGAGTCGTGACACACCAACCGATGCTAATCTAGCACGAATATCCTTCATCCCACGACGCCACCTCATGGACTGACCACCCCTCCGCCTTTTCCATCCCGTCCCAGGGCTAGCGAACATAGACCTGTACGTAAGCCTCTGGGATGACATTCGCAACACATGTCCAAGCCACCGGAGCCGGTGTTTCCAGATGACGACACTCAATGAATGGTGATCTCCACTGTGTTCAAACACACGCCGCCGAACCTCAGAATTACTCACGCGATGATGCCATCGAACGCAAGCATCCTGACGAGACAGCAATAATCGAACACGCAGAGTCGCCTCACATTCTCAGCTCGGAGAGGCCAGAATATTGATACGAACAACAAAAATACGAAAACGACACCAATGAGCCAGTAGTCAGACATTAAACTTTCTTTATAACTTAAAAACGGTAGTACACTGTCACGCAGTGGCTTCTGGTAGTTTCACAGCGTTTAGTAGGACTGGCAGAGATATATACACTGCTTTGTATAGAACTCTGGTGGCGTCAAGACTGGAAAACCGTATCCAGGCAGCCAGTCCTTGTCTCTTAAGAGAGACTCATACATTCTAGAAAGGACTCAAAGGAAAGCAACACGTAGGATTCTTGGCATGACTAATTTATCATACGTTGGAAAACTAGACAGTTTCAATCTCTTCACCTTTATCATACTGCACGTAGGCAGAGGGGAGATCTCATTACAATGTTTTAAAACTTTACATAATATGTCTACGAGGACATGATGTCTTTTCTCTTTTCACCTTTCCACTAGGCCGGAACACCTTAGAGAACATAGCAGGAGAGTTCGAAAGCCAAGGAGGAACTATATCTTCGAGTAGTACACTCCTGGAACCGACTCTCAGAAGAATTGGTGGCAGCGCCCTTTTCATTCATTTATTTAAGAAGGGTTTGGAAAAGAACAGAAATTTATTTATTACAAAAGGAATAACATAGGCTTCCAACCTTCTATCTTCAATCAACGAATCTGAATCTGTATATTCTAAGTCTGAGCGAACGACCCAAGGATTTAGCGTAGTCAATACTAACGCCCCATAAACGTGTTAGAGGACACAGGAGTTCCTTGTATCATAAATGATATCCGAATTTAAATGTGATTAGTGAGTGACAGTTAAGTTGAACCAGTCTGACTCATATACCTCTTTTACTACTTTAGGTGTACTATCACAAAATCTATCCTATCATCAAAGCAATGAGCGGAAATTCTTACAAAATGATTGACGTAATCAAATATAATCCAAGTGTAATATGTTCACCAAAAAAAGCATTTAAACATATTAAGTAAAACCAATCAAACAGAGCCTTGAATATGCATTTGTGTCGGTCGGTCGGTCGCTTTTCGACATAGAACTTTGCACCGATGTGCGCCAGTTCAAGTCGCCACACTCCCTCTTTGTAGCACACAAAGCAAGAGAAGAAAGTAGAAGCAGTGCATAATATAGACAGTAAACAGAGGTGTGAGACAAAGGAATAGTAATAACGGAGAACAAATCAGTTTCATTGGAAATCAGGAGTCACAAGGAGTGGATGCATCTGCGCCATTGAGAACGATTTTGAGCCATGTCACTAATTGTTTCCAACCATTGGTGTTTACCGTCCCGAGGATCCCAACCAGGAAGTCTACATCTCCCTACGTGGCTTAGACTAACTGTTGTGGATTTCATTGCATTTGTGTGTGTGTGTGGGGGGGGAAGTCAACGGTAGAAAACTCACTAACGATACAGGTGATCAGGGGTTCGATCGTCAGCCGACACACTTCTTAACCTCGCCTAGCCAATCGTAAGCCCGTTGTTGAAGAGGGAAGGATGGGTTGATGAAACTTCTAAGATGAAGCCTGAAGTCCTATATTCCTCTGGGAACTCAAAGGAATGCTTTCAAACAACAAGCAGGATGCATTTGGGATAAATACTACTTTACCGTCAAACAATATCAAGTTGTTGATTAACTAAAAAAATGTCAAGATGTCCTTCGCTTCCTGAAAATCATCAGCAGTCCTAAAGGAACAGACCTATGACACTCAGCCCCCACCACTAAACCATTCTCACATCATAAGAAACTTCCTATTAACTTGTAAAATTTAATTTTTGAAATAATTTAAAGTATGTTATCGGAAGCTTATTAGCTCGACCAGTGGACTCTGTGGTGCCTCGGTGGCGTAGAGGTAGAATGCTCGCCGACCACACATGTGCTCCAGCGTTCAATACCCGGCCACCGACGCACTTCTTTACCTCACTAAGCTAATAATAAGACTGGTAAAGAGGGAAGGTTGGATATGAGGCTAGCAACTCCATCTCGTAAAAATAAGTACCACTGCTACCGAAACTTCAAGCCTCTAGTTTGAAGCCCTATGTTCTAATGGGAAAGTAAAGGAATAAAGAAAGAAGTTGATTCTGTAGCGGTATACCATTCTAACTATTTCAACCAAAGAGAAGTCGGGCAGTGTAATCATCTTTTCATCACAAAATGAATGTGATTTCATGGCCAACTAGGTTAAAGGTCACTCTGATTTGAGCAATTTTTTCTACTACTACTACTTATACTATTTATAACTCTTTAGAAGTTCTGTTTGTCACCACGTAAAGAAGACGTATCCACTGATATAAGAATAGAAAACTTGTGCACTGTGGTAGCGTATACATCCCATCATAGAGGAATCTCATTGTGTTATACAGTAATATTTACTGATGATGACGTCTTGAGCACAATTTATCGCTGCTCATAAACATATCAAACCACTACTCACACAATTTTCCGACTTCTCTCCATTTGATTGGCAGTAATATTTTCCATATCTCTGGTATTAGTGATGAGTCATTCCTATTGCATGTGTTGGGCGTAGATTTGATGAACAAAGATCCAGCAACTCTCATTCCATCGACCCATCTATTTTTTTTAATTCCTTCACGTTCCCAGTGGAACATAGGGCACCTTCAAGTTAGAGGCTTGAAGTTTCTGTAGCAGTGTCTATTTTTACAGGATGGGGCTGCTAGTCTCATATCCAACCTTCCCTTTTTGCCAGTTCTATTACTGGCTTAGTGAGGTAGAGGAGTGCGTCGGCCGGGGATCGAACCGCGGACCATGTGTATGGTCGGCGAGCGTCCTAACCACTGTGCCACCGACGCGCACCAATATAACTTTTTTGAATTGTAACTCTGTTCCATTCGATGTGTTTGTGTGTTAATGCATGCACTGCAATGGCTGAGTTTTTTCTCTAAATTACTTATCATCGTGGGGTCTGTCATTCAAACCTTAGCTAAATTCTTATGTTCTGATAATTTGAATATCCCCGATCTACTGGTTTCACCTATGTGGTTGACCATCAAGTCATCGCAAGACATTTTATGAATTACATCATTTTGTTTACTTGGGTCAACAGGATCCTTTAACCCACAAACACACACCCAATATAAACGGGAAGCACTCTACTATGTCGTTTCAACTACAGGTAGTTCTCACAGGGATGATGTCAAAACCAAAATCAGAATAAGCACAAAAAACAACAAAATTCGCATTTTCAAAACCAATATTAAGTCAGTCAGTTCTTCTATATGGGTCAGAAAGTTTGCTTTCAAGTCACGGAAAGCATTTCCAATAGGTTACAGACTTTTATGAATAGCTGCCACCCTTGCTGGCTCCATATTAAAGATCAAATGGTTGGCCAGAAAGAAACCATGAGAACAAACTAATCAAGGACCTATTGCTCAACAAATATACCGAAGGTGGAGATGAAGTGGGCACACACTGAGAAAGCCGTCAAATGACATTGTGAGCTGGCCAGGACATCGCTAGAGTGGCACTCGAATGAGAAGTGACAAGTTTGGCGTAGTTGGTTCGTGGTTGACATGAAGCAGATCGTGACAGGAGATGTGAGACTACAGGCAATCGTGAGACAAGATGAGGAACACAGAGAATAGGACAAAGTGGAGATGTTTTGTTGACGCCCTACGTGTGCCACTCGGAACCCTAGGGAACAATAATAATAATACTCTCCGAAACTTCAACAACAGTTTCGAATCCCACACTTGCCTATTCAATAATGTGAAACTGACCGGTTACAACGTCGTTTACCGAGTTCCCAGCTGTATATGTCACACAATCATTACATGAAGATTGACGATACTCTACCTGGTTGTTTTGAGACTTAAACCTGTCTGTCTGTCTGTTTTCGACATAGAACTTTGCACATATGTGCAGCAGTTCAAGTCGCCACACTCCCTCTTTGTAGCACACAAAGCAAGAGAAGAAAGTAGGAGAAATGCATAATATAGACAGTAAACAGAGGAATAGTAATAACGAAGAATAAAACAGTGCCATTGGAAGTCATAAGTCACAAGGAGTGGATGCATCTGCGCCATTGAGAACGATTTTGAGCCATGTCACTAATTGTTTCCAACCATTGGTGTTTACCGTCCCGAGGATCCCAACCAGGAAGTCTACATCTCCCTACGTGGCTTAGACTAACTGTTGTGGATTTCATTGCATTTGTGTGTGTGTGGGGGGGGGGAAGTCAAAGGTAGAAAACTCACTAACGATACAGGTGATCAGGGGTTCGATCGTCAGCCGACACACTTCTTAACCTCGCCTAGCCAATCGTAAGCCCGTTGTTGAAG